GTATACATTGTTTCAATCATGTACATTTTATTTTATATATAGTTTCTATACATTATCTTTTATATAATTATGATGAAATGTGCAAAGAGCTGGAGTCAGAAAATTAAAATGGATGAATTAGCTCAGCATTTTTTTTTAAATAATTTTAATGAACATTTACAGAGAATTTGGATTTCCATTCATTCATTGCTGCACTTCTCTACCCGCCCAGCCCTCTTCCCCCCACCCCCCAGTTTCACTGACTCAAATACACCTACCTGCATTGTCCTAGTTACTGCATCAATCCATCTTATCTAAGGTCTTCCTCTCCTGCACTGTCCCTTCACCCTTCTAAGCATGATGTCCTTCTCCAGGGATCAGTCCCTCCTGGCCATATGCCCAAAATACACGAGATGAAGCTTCAAAATCCTAGCCACCAAAGAGAAACTTGGTTTTACCCTCTGTAAGACAGACCGATTTGTTTTCTTGGTGGTCCACTGTATGTTCAAGATGCTTCTCCACCACCACACCTGAAAGGCATCAATCTTTCTTCTGTCATCCTTAGTCATTATCCAGTAATTATAATATTATCCAGTAATGTTGTAAAATTACCCAGTAATATTGTAAGTAATTGCAAAGACCATGGCCTGAATTAAGTGCACCTTAGTCTCTAGACTGACATCATTGCTTCTCAGTACTCTGTAAAGGTTCCTGACCTAATGTAACTCACCTTTTGATTTCTTCACTGCTGGTGCACAAAGTGTTAATAGTGGAGTCGAGCAAGCTGTAACTGTTAACAATCTCAATCTTTTTCATCCATCATGATGCTGCCAATTGGCCCAGTGGAGAGAATCTTTGTCTTCTTGCTGTTGAACTTCAAGCCATATTGAAGACTATAGTCCTTGACCTTCTGCAGGAAGCAACTCATACAATTCAAATCCACCAGTTGCTTTGAGGGAGTAAAAGAAGCCATCTCTGTTGGGGACCGATGATTCTACTCCTCTGGGGAAATGATGCCTGGAAGAAATGAGTAAATAAAGATACAAGAGACAACTTACTGAAACAAAGCAGGACAGACACAGCCAGACAGGACGGAATAGGACCCTCCAGCAGCTGGGCCATCTTTATTTACACCTTTTGGAAACAAAGAGATGGTTCACAGGGAAATAGAAACTTTAAGGGTTACATCATAGAGCCCAGGCCGGCCAGGTACAAGTAGAAACATTAAGATTACCATTAGGGCTCTAATGAGCTGAGTACATAGTTAGATACATTCAGCCAAGACTTCTTTGAATTTATAAACTGTGCTTTCTCTCATCTTGCAACAACCTTATCAAAAGCAGAAATAATAATGAAAGTCAGTGTCTAAAGATGTATGAGACTGAGCTGTCTCCTGGTGATGCTGACTTTTCAGACGCAGGTCTTAACTGTGTGTGCGATGTCCCAGCCTGGGTTTGTCATGCCTGGTGTCCCAGGAGAGAAGCTTCTGCCTGGGAGGAGAGGGTATTGCGTCTAAGCTCCCTGCTTGGTGTGACCTGGAACTTAAAGATCATGATGGGGGATTGTCTTATTGAAGAAGAAAAGCAAAACAGCAGCACTTTCCTTGTCAGACCAGGTTCCCACCACAACCTATAGCCTAGTCGGCCTACGTGTGCACAGAATTATGTCTCACCCATTTAAATGACAGTGATAAAGAGAGAAACTGAAGTCCCTGGGAGCAAATGGTTTGCATTCAACTACTAGACAAAATAGAGCTTTGGTGGCTTAGTGGGTAAGGAATTGTGCTGTTAATCTCAAACAGGCAGTTCCAATCCACCAGCTGCTCTACAGGAGAAAGATGGTCAATCTCCTCCAGTGAAAGGTTGTTGTTATGTGCTGTCAAGTCGCTTGCGACTCCTAGCAACCCTATATACAACAGCCCTAAACTCTACTCTGTCCTGTGCCAATCACACCATCTCTGATACACTCATTTTGATTACCCCAGTCGCTGAATCAATCCACCTCCTAGAGGGCCTTCCCCTCCTGCGCTGTCCCTCCACCCTACCAAGCATGATGTCCTTCTCCAAGGACCTGTCCCTCCTCAACATGTCCAAAGTATGTTAGATGGAGCCTTAGAATCCTTGCCTCCAAGGAGCAGCTCGGTTTGACCCTTTCCAGGATGGATCTGTTTCTTTTCCTAGCAGTCCATGGTACCCTCAATACTCTTCTCCAGCACCACAGCTCAAAGGCATCAATTCTCCTTCTATTCTCCCTAGTCATTGTCCAACTCTCTGATGCATAACAAGTGATAGCAAAGACCAAAGCCTGTATCAGACTCACCTTAGTCTCCAAAGAGACACCATTGCTCTTGAGTAGAGAGGTCCTTAACAGCAGACTTTTCCCATGGCAATATGTCTTTTAATTTCCTGGCTACTGGTGCCAAGAGTGTTGACTGTGGAGCCAAGCAAACTAAAGCTGTGAACAATCTCAATCTCTTTACCATCCATCCTGATGCTGCAAATTGGTCCAGTAGCGAGAATCTTTGTCTTCTTGACATTGAGCCTCAATCCATATTGGAGGCTGCAGTCCTTGACGCTCTGCAGCAACGGCTTCAGGTCCTCCTCAGTTTCAGCAAACAGGGTGAAAGATACAGCCTCTGAAAACCCGATGGAGGATCAGTTATGAGTTAGTTCCAACTCAATGGCATAAACCAACAACTAAACCTAAGCTTGGCTGTTTGAGCTCACCCAAGGGTGCTGTGGAACAAGGACCTGAGTGTCTGCTTCCAGAAAAATTAAACCCACTGCCCTCAAGCCCGATCTGGCCAGAATAAACTCCCACTGGGTCTCCAAGGTGGTGAAGCTTTAGAGAAAGTGATTGCCCATGTTTCTCCAGGGAATATGGCGGGTAGAGTTGAACGACTGCCCTTTGGTGTAGCTGTCTGATTGCTTACAAAATGTGCTCCTTAAGCTCTAAAATTACAGAGAAAGAAAATGACAAGAAAGAAAGCCCTGTGAAGCTCTGTTCTCTCTGGGGGAGCTCTGGTGGCCTACTGGGTAGCGAGTTGTATGTTAACTCAATGGTGGTGCTGTCTCCTGTCTCAGATCCACCGTGACTTCCACAGCAAAACAATGGACAATCTTCTCCTGTGCAGTTTATAACCTCTGAAAGCTCACTGGTGGGTCAGTTATGAGTCGGTTCCAACCTGACAGTAAATACACACACACACACACACAGAGAGAGACACACACACCTGCTATTGAATCATGTTTTCAGTCATGATTCCAAGACCATAAGTTTTTTAGTTGATGATAGTATGGTGCAAACATAACTTTTATACTCACTCAGAAACCAAAATAACTCACTCATTTTCTTGTAGTTGTCTGGAGCTGAACATGCATCATCCGCGAATGTGCCTGTAGACTAATAAGAAGGGGAGAAGTTCCCTCCCATCAGATTTCCAAGACCATAAGATTACAGGAAACTGCCTCATCTCTCTCATGTGAAGCTGCTGGTGGATTTGAACTTTTGATCTTTCAGTTAGGCAACCCAATTAGTAAAGCACTGTATCACCAAGGCATTCTCCCTCCCTTTCTTCCTCCCTCTTTGTCTCTCTTCTTCCCTCTTTCCCTCTCTCTTTTCTTTTATGTGTGTGTATACAACATAATATATTGTAAAAGTATAATGTCTGTTCCTCATCCCCTACTTAACAGTGAGTGGAAACAAACCAAGTCCCCTTTCTGGCATAATAGTAAACGGATTTCTCCAAGCAAGTAAAAGGTTACTGACCGAGAATAGGATAGGTGTTGGGAGAGTGAATACATTTTTCTTTGTAGAGTTTACAGAAGTGTATGTGAAGAAAAGAAATGATAACAATATTTTGCTCTGCTTTTCCTTTATCCAAAAACCAGTTCCTTTCACTGGGGCACCGTTAGCATTTAACCCCAGGCAGGGGATTTTCTTTACCCCTACAAAGAGGTAAAATGCAGTCTAGAACAACAAGCTTGCTCTTAAGGGGGAAAATTTAGAAAATTATAAAAGGGGCTTTCTTACCTTCTGATTTATATGCAGACATCCCTCAGACATGTTGCAGATTCAGTTCCAGACAACTTTGATAAAGTGAGTCATGTGACATTTGGATTGAGACTGTCAACTACTTTCTCCTACTTGGATCCACAATCATTACAGTTGGTACTAGCAGTCAGGGGATCAGGAGTCATATTGGACTGGGAAACTCTCTGGTCAAGAGCTTCTCAAAATTATTGAGGAGTAATGACATCAGTTTGAGGACTAAGGTGCATCTGATTCAAGCCATGGTCTTTTCAATCACTTGCTATGCATCTGAGCGCTGGACAGCAACTATGAGAGCTGGACAATGACTAAGGATGGCAGAAGACAAATTGATCCACTTTCCCCCCATTCTACCTCCAACTCCTTCTTGTCTGTCGTATTTTATAACAGCATTGTTATGTAGTATTTGTCCTTTTGTGACTGAGATATTTCACTCAGCATAATGTCCTCCAGGTTCCCCCATGTTAAGCAATGTTTTACAAGTTCCTTGTTTTTCAGTGCTGTGTAATATTCCATTGTGTGAATGTACCATTTTTTTTCTATCCGTTTGTTTGTTGACAGACACCTGGGGTGTTTCAATTTCTTAACTTTTGTGAATAACACAGCAATAAACATGAGTGTGCATACATCTGTTTGAGTCATGGCTCTGATTTCTTTAGGGTATATTCCCAGTAGTGGAATTGCCAGGTCAAGAGGTATTTCTATTTCCAGGTTTTTTTTAAACACTGCATTAGAACAGATGAGGGGAAGAATTGTCCAAAAGGACTATACAATTAGGCACTATATGCATGACAACAATCTGGGACAGGGGTGCATGCATTGCAGGTGGGCTTGGGGAGGAAGCGGATGGGAGAGAAAATGTGCAACAGTGAAAAACAAAATTTAAAAAAATTATCCCTACTGAAGAAAATGGGAAATATTATGCACCTAAGAAATAAATAGAAGAATTTGAGTTGTGGTGTTTGAGAAGAGTACTGAACATCCCATGGACTGCCAAAAGAACAAACAGATATGTCTTGAAGAAAAATACTGATTGGAAAAAAATATGAAAAAAAATGTCTCTTTTTGGCCATGTTATGAGGAAAGGCTGTTCCTTGGAGAGGGTTATCATGTTTGTAGGAAAGCGAAAGAGAGGAAAAAACTCAAGCATCCAGACTGACACAGTGGCTGCAGCAATGGACTTGAGTATGTCAGAGAGGATAATATAATGGTGGTGGTGGTGGTGCAGGATAGGCCAGGGTTCAGATGTGTTGTCTATAGGATCACCCTGAGCACCTTCCTCTTGAGGGCCCGTAACAACAGTGGTATCGTGTGTTTTACACTGTGACCCAAAAGTGAGCAGTTTGAGTACATCACGTGCTCTTAGAAGAAAGAGGAAGGAGTCTCCGGTACAGACTTAGAACCTTGGACCCTCAGCAAAGGGTCACCATGAGTGAGAATCCATTCAAGGGCAATGAGTTTGCTTTGGTGATCTGCTAACTGTCCAGCAATGTCACAAAAAACTTGAAACATTGTGAGAATTACCAACACATGACACAGAGACATGCAGGAAGCACATGCGGTTATAAAATGGAGCCAGGAGACTTGATCATGGGAAGGGTGGCCACACAGCTTGAGTTTGTAAATAAAGCAGTATCTGTGAAACACAAGAAAACAAAGTACACCTGTATACACAAATTGGGAAGTCAGGGTGAGGTGGAATGGTTACTAGAAAAGGAGAGGTTGGGATTGAGGAAGAGTGTTCAACAAGATGGGAAAGTCAAAGCTGGGGAGCCTGGAATTCTGGGAGGAGACACCTTAGCAGGGTGGCCACACCATACAGACTGCTGCAGGGTGTTCCTGATCTTCAAGAACATGAAAGGAATTTAGAATTTGCAGTCCTCGTGAGGATGCTGAGTGCCACGGAGCTGTCGTGAATAGACCTTGGCAATGATCATGGTGGCTAGAGTTCAGAACGGGAGCATAAGCCAAGTCTCAATTGGAGACTGACTCTCACAGGGCCCCAGCTCCAGAGTAGAACAAGAGCCAAGCCAACAAGAGAGTGTGGGGAGGCTGCAGAAAATGGACCAGGAGGTCTTCCTGCCTCTGGCTCTGCCACAGCAGACCTGAGAGGACAGAAGATGACCCCTGACGCCATGGCAGGTGAGTGCTTAGATACCCAGCCAGCTGGTTTTTGGAGAAGGATCTAAAGATTTCTAAGCAAATGTCCTTTCTCAAAATAGAATCAAGGGAAAGGTACACAGGAGTAGGCTGATGGGCTCCCTGAAATAGTGATGCTTGAAGTCACAGATCAGAAATACCAGGGGCCAGGAACTAGCCTGGGACTAGTGTAATGCTGAACTATTACAGAGACCTTATTGCTCTCGCCAAGTTGATTCCTATACTCACGACAAGACTTCTGGGAGATGAAGATGCATCACTTCTTTTGGCGTTTGAAGGAATTGGTTGTGGTAGTTGTTGTTAAGTGTTTTCAAGTCAACCTTGATTCATAAGAATGCTATGAATACAGGCAGAACCTTACCTCAAACTGGACCATCTCCACAAGCTCTGTGGTCATTGTGCCAGCCCATCTCCTGGAGGGCTCTCCTCAAGGCTCCTCCTTCTCAAAAGGAGATATAAATTTTTCAAGTCTGGTACTTTCTTTTTTGTGTGTGTGTGTTAGAAGTCATTATAATTAATCTTTTCAGAAAGAAAATGGGCAAATGTACATAGCACAGTAAGTTTGAGTCTTTTTTCCCCTATACTCAAAACATAAAGCAGAAATAATACTTTATCCCATATTAGCATGCAACTTAAAAAAATAATTTACATATTCTAGAAATGCACCAATAAAATCTGTTACCTCTCCACACAATGTACCTTGACATCATTCCTCTTATTTTATTATCAGTAAGTTTATGAAACAAAGTCCTATTACTTGTTGCCTTAATAGTTTGCATTTATGTGTTTGATACTGTAGTCACAAAAACATGATTACAGTTATAAAGTAGCTGAAAACACTGTTTTATCAATGAAAATGTACCCATGCCAAACTGC